GGAGAACCTTTCACAAATTAGTTAATACAAAACAAAATAATTCTAAATTAAAACTTGAAGAAGAAAGTTACTCTATCACCAGTAATAATTGCCACGAGGAATACATAGGAGAAACCTCAAGGAAATTTAACTAAAAGATTATATGAACTCAAAGTGCTCTTTTACAAAACAACACATTAAACACATTAGTGGGTCATCGTAATGAGACTGACCGCAATATTTATTTTTAAAAATGTTACTTTTTAATTAAAAGTGTTGACAATTTACTAAGACGAAACTGTATAGAAAGTGCTCTAATTGTTAGATCATTCATAGTAAATTTACATCCAGGTTGTGATAAAACCTTTCTGGACAGATCTATTATCCCAATGTGGGGGTATTTAATAATAAAAATGATAAAAACATTAGCAAAAAGAAAAATAAGCTAAATGAAATCGGCTAGAATTTATATCCAAAAGATATATTTTTAATCATTTCACCCCAATCAATACGACAATGCCATTAAGACCCGGAATGAAAGAAAATGCTAAAAAAGCTGGGGAAAGACACCGGAAAACTAATCCTAAACTGGAAACAAGAGATAAACCTCTACTTTAATCACTTTTTTGTTTCTTTAGGACTTTATTAGGCTAAAGTGATGTTTACATTAATGTAACTATGCACGAGGGAGAGGAGACGCTTTAAATTGAAAATTTAACATATTTGTTTACTTATATAATATATCTAATGACATTTATTTTATTTTTAAAATTTTTTTATCGCTTTTGTTATTAAATATCCCGCATTGTAATAATGTAAGATCTGCTAAGAAAGGCAAAATGTTGTAAAAACCTTGCTGCAAATCTACAGTGAATGATCTAGCAATTGAAGCACTTTCTATACATTTTCGTTTTATTAAATTGCTTTCTCTTTTAATCAAAATAGCATTTTTAAATGAAAATTATGATCACAGTTATTAGGGTGAGCAACTAATACATCGAGTGTATTGTTTTGTAAAAGATCCCTTTTGTATTTATTCATTTAATCCTTTATTTAAATTCCTTGAGGTTTTGCTTATCGCCCGGTTCACACACCTCCTCGGTGTTTTGAACAGGAGTAGAGGTTGTTTTCTTTTTGTTTAGGATTGGGTTTCCGGTTTCTTCTAAAGTTTTCTCATTCTCTTTCCCCCCTTGCGTCTTAGTGTCATCCTTGCCTTGCCTGAAGTGAATCGATTTAAAAAAAATGCACTCCTTGTGGCAATTACTGCAGGTGATATGTTTGTGAGTGTATGTGTTTGTTTGTATGTGTGTCTCTGTGTGTGTGTGTGTGTGTTTACGCGCGCGTAGAAATGTTTGCATTCTATTTTTTTACGAAGCTTCTTCTTTATGTATATATTTCTGTATGTGTGTGTGTGCGTATGTGTGTGTGTGTGCGTGTGTGTGTGTGGGTTAAAATGATAGTCATAATATGAAGTGATGAAGATACTGTTTATAGTTTTGGCGACGAGAAATGAAGAAAAATAATGATCTGCATTCTATTTGATGCAGATAACCTAACAAACACACACACACACATAGACATACACTTATAAATAAATATATAATGTGTGTGTGTATGTGTGTGTTTGTGTGTGTGTGTGTGTATGGTATATTAACAGCATGTCAATAGGTGAGATAAAAGCTAGTTCGCTACGGCAGCTCAGTCTGCCTGTATACTGTCAGTTTTTTCTAAAGCATGTTGCAGGTGTCTGTGGTGTACCAATACTTTTTCCCGGAGCTCACCCACACGGGCAGGTGTGAATTTCTATTATCGTATTGTCCAATTTAACAACTAGACTATCCTGTGTGTCGCAATAACTTAAGCACAAGGAGTCAATTAATTCTTTGACCACTGAAAAAGCATTGTGGTTAGAATATACGGATGATGGCTATTGTCAGTTATACAGTCTGAATATATAATGACCATATTTTTGTATTTTCGCGTCTTTGTTACCGTAGTACAGTAAAATATGGCACATCGTAACGTAATTTCTGTTAGCGCATTGTATCTAACTTAGATAAGAAATTTCAAGCCCACTCGGATCACCGTTAAATTTTTAATTACTCTCTTTTAATTGCAATAAGACATAAAGCAAGGTTGTCAGAAAAAGGAAGAGTCTCAGATGCAAACTCTGAATTGGAAACGTTAGAATCATTCAAATAAGAAATTTTAAATATCTAGGAAGTTTTTCAACGGATGACGGAAAATATAACGCAAAAATCTGAATGCTCATTGAAATAACAAAAGATGCCGTCTAAAAGTTAAGCACAGTATTAGGAAACAGGAATTTTGTTTTAAAAACAAAGAAAAGTGCTGAATTTTTGTGTAATATCGGTTCTCCTATACGGTAATGAATGCTGGACAATCTTTTCAGAGAAACTCGAAGCAACAGAAATGCGATTCTATAGAAGGATACAACGACGAAAGTTTAGAGAAAATAGAAACAAAAATGATACTTATATTAGAATCAGAAAGACAATTGAAATTTTTAAGGCACATTTTGAAGAAAGAGGGATTGGGGAATTTGAAACGCACAAGACAAATTAAAGACAAGACAGACAGAAGAAAGCAACGAATAGCCTATCTAACTAGCTTGTGTCAATGGTTGGCAGAAAAACTCAAGAGCTACAAAAGACAGGAAATTATGGAGAGCTATGATCACCCATATCCTGAAGGAACACAGCACATAGAAGACGAATAATAATAATAATGAACAAATTCAGTGTTGCCTAATTGTTATGGTCCGGTTCCTTGTACCCCGGGTGGATGTCCAAGGTAGAACCAATAAAGAAGAACTTGAACACGTATATGGAATAACACAGATATATTACAAACAGGAATATATACAGAGAAGTAGAAAGTGTTAGTACGAACAATCAGGTTTAGTAGTAATTGTCTGAACGCGACTCTGTTTCGGACTGCCTCTGACTCGACTGACTAACTCGCTCGCTCTAACTGACAGACTCCTGACGGACCTCACTCCAGACTGAACAGTATTTAGTCACCACACCCCCACGAGGGCATCATGTGGCACAAGGCCGGTTTAACGTGGGATATCCGAGCCCGTGGGCTCGGCCAAAAATATGCCCTTTGAACCCGTATAAACGGGTTCAGGGTCGGTTTACCTCCTCAAAAGAGACTACGCCCTTCGGCGTAGCCTCGTTCGGGTTCCTCCCCGCACGAAGGCAGAGAGTTCAACCGATCAGCCGGTCGTTCGACTTCAGACTGAACTCCCTGCTTCCTTTTGAGGCGCAATATTTATTACGTATGGAATAGTTCACTATGTTATTATGGATAAGGTCCCATAACACTAATAAGATATTATTGTAAATGTTTCTAATAAAAAAAAGTTAATTTCAAATTCACATAATATATTGCTCATCTAGACTTCATTAGATTAAAACACAACAGAAGAATTATGTGTGATTATGTGCATGCTTAAATAAATCATTAATATTTTTTCTGATATTTCTCGGAATTATCGTCATTATATATGCTTACATTCTGACTGGTTTATAGCCTAATAACGTTTTTAGAGTTATTTTTGGTTAATTGGTGATACAGGCCTTACTAATTAACCCATAGCTAGTGGTGAAAGAGCTGGATTCATGCCTAATCAAAATTTGATGAACAAACAAGAAATTATAATGTGGATATAAAGTGGGGGTTCAATTCTATATCACAATCAATATAAAAACTGATCTTTTATTTTGTGGCCAAAATACTTTCTATATATTTATATTCCAGAGAGATTAAATAAATCTAAAAGACATGCCTGTCTAACTAATCAATATATCATTGATTGATTCGTTTTCTAAGGCTTTCCAATACATTGCAGGTTATTTATATCCAGAAAAATTTTTAGATTGTAATACATTTTTGACATAAAAATGGTTTAGTGATGCAAGTCTTACTAATTGACCCAATAGCTGGGGGAGAAGAAATGGATTCATACCTTTCCCAAAGGTATTTTGCGCGTAAGTGAATATAACGAACCCAAGATGGAATTGGAACTCGCTCTCCGATTAATAATTCTGAGCCATTATCCATAAACCGTGCGCATATCCAAGTTTACAGTACCCGGTATTTCCAAGCGGTCACCCATCTTGATACTGACCAGAAGAAGAAGAAGGGGTAAGAGAAGAAAAACAAGGGTGTTATAAATGTATCGGTGGGAGGTATTGAAATGTACATTTTTTTATCCTGCCTGATATGTGCTTCAGAGAAATTTCCTAATATGTAAGCAAGGACTCAAGACTTCGGTTATATATATATATATATATATATATATATAGTGATTTTCTAAGCCCGGCTTAGATGTGGCACAAGGCCGAAAGTATGGGGCACCCAGTGAGGATCGAACTCACTACTCAGTCATAAAGTGATCTAGCAAGACACACACATATATATATATATATATATATATATATATATAGTTTGTGTGTATATATATATAGTTTGTCTGACGATCGATAAAGCGTGAAACCCAGGGTCACAAACTCACATCTATCCAACCAAATATATATATATATATATATATAATTATTTACCCGCTACCCCACGCACAAGATGTGGCACAAGCCGAGTTTTAAAGTGGGGTATCCGAGCCCGTAGGCTCGGGAAAAAATTCTCTATAGACAACGTAAAATACGGAGTCATTTTCCCGAGACTAGACTCTTTCCTTCGGCAGAGCCTCGTCTGGAGAATACTCTCTGACATAAGCCAGGTAATATATATATATGTGTGTGTGTGTGTGTGTGTGTGTGTGTGTTAAAAGTTAAAAATATCAACTCATGTAAGATCGTGAGGGATCTATTTTTCCTAGCTTCTGTATATTTTCGTAAGAACTGAAAACAACTTATTACAATTGACTGATCGCTCAAATAATAAAGAGATAAGTAAATTCAGAAAACATTGTAAGAAATTCATAGACATTTGTAAACTTAATAGTTGGTTTGTTTTTATCATGTCTTTTTATGTGTTTAATTTGTACATATCGGTACATGTATGTAAAAGAAAGAAAGAAAGAAAGAAAGAAAAAGAGGGAGAAAGAAAGTAAAGGAAACGTAATTAGTGGTTACAACGAAAGAAAGAAGAACAAGAAGAAAAAATTTTAAAAAAATGATAAAGAAAGAACAGAAACTGAGAAAGAAAAGAAACAAAGAAGAAAAATTACAGAAAAATTTATAAATAAATAAATAAATAAATAAATAAAGAAAGAAAGAAAGAAAGAAAGAAAGAAAGAAAAGAAAGAGAACGTAAAGAAAAATAATACTGAAGAAGTTAAGTTTAACAGTAACAATGAAACTTCATTAAATTCCCGTCTGCTGTAGCTTGACTATGCATGTGTTGCAATAATTAACGATTGTTTTAAGCTGGCATTGGATTAAAATTGCGAAAACACTGGACAGTAATTGTTTATTGTGAGGTGAGTAAGCCATATCTATAAATCTTCGCAATGACGACGTTAGGAGTAAAAAGGAAAAGAAACAGAGATTTTATGATACAGAAACTCATATTTCAAGTTATCGCAGTTAACAGTAAAATTATTATGCATATTAAAGAAGCGGAGAATTAATTAATAAGTATTCGAAAAATTGTTCTTTGTTTAAGTATATATGACGGGGTGTTAAATGTTCTCGACATGACCCACTTCCCAAATATGACCAAATGACCAAACATCAGATATTTTGGGAACCCACTTCCCAAAATCTGTCCAAATGTTATCAAATAGAAATTCCACCTTGGTTGAGACATAAAATTTTTCAGCGTTCTCTCGCATTGAAAAGATGATTATATATTTTCTGATTGCATCATTTCATTCTACGAGTGGTACTGGTAACCCAATACTATCTGCTATCGATGGCTAAAAGAGTTCACCAAACGTTTCTTGTGAAGAGGGTGGCTAGACACCGAGCATTAAAAAGAAGACCCGTCAAAGAACCAGTATTCTTGTTGGGTCAACAAAACCCGTTAAAGGTTCAGCCTTCTACTAGAGTCAACAAGATGCTTCAAAGGGTCAACATTCTCGTACGGTAAAAAAAGATCCGTCAAAGAGTCAAATTTAGCGTAGGCTCAACAAGACGCTTCAAAGGTCAAGCTTGTTTTAGGGTGAACAAAACCAGTCAAAGTTCTCGTAGGGCCAACAGCCATCTATCTAGAACTGGGTGTAGACTAGGCGTCGTCAGTGTGGTATTATTGGGCGAAGGCTTTCCTAAAAGTAAGTCTCCCAATCAGATGTATTGAAGGCACTGTGATCTTGAGTGCTCAATGATTAATATACGGCCTTTTTATTGCTAAATTGATGACTGAAACAATGTGGCATTTATACAGCAAAATAACTAACTAAATAGAAAAAAAAAACTGCCATGAAATTAGTTAAAATATAATTTCTGTAACAATAAAATTAAAATAACAATCAAGCATTTAAACGCTTAACGTGAAGTTTTGTCTCGGTGATACATATTTTATGTAAGTAAATAAACTATTCGAATAGAAGTTAAGCTTAAATCTCGGGTAAAACGATGAGATTTAGTTGCCAATTTCATAATACACTTACATACATGAGGTCGAGATACCATGACGGAGCGATCATTAGAAGAATTACAATGAAAATATTTATAGAAAAGACAGAGAGAAATCCCTTCACAACGGTGAGAACGTAATTGAACTCGATATGCCAAGTCAGGACGGATAACGACAAATTTTTCAGTGCACAGGCGAATGCTATATTCAAAAACGTGCAAGGTGGATTCTGTTGCGGAAAGTCTATCTGTCTATCTGTCTATCTGTCTATCTATCTATCTATCTATCTATATATATATATATATATATATATATATATATATATATATATATAGATAGATAGATAGATAGATAGATAGAAACAGACTGAGATAGATAGATATATAGATATGAACAGAATGCGATAGATAGATAGATAGATAGATAGATAGATATATAGATAGAAACAGACTGAGATAGATAGATATGAACAGAATGAGATAGATAGATAGATAGATAGATAGATAGATAGATAGATAGATATGAACAGAATGAGATAGATCGATCGATAGATAGATAAATATGAATAGAATGAGATAGATAGATAGATAGATATGAACAGAATGAGATAGATAGATAGATAGATAGATAGATAGATAGATAGATAGATAGATATGAACAGAATGAGATAGATAGATGGATAGATAGATATTCATTTATGCGTTATCCTGCTTGAAGACGTCACTTGTGCATGTATGTTACAGTTATAAACTGAGGTAAGTGTTTAGCCCTAATACCTACATTATCCGTGTCACTTAAACCAGGGGGTTGCAGACATAAGGCCCGATGCATACTTTCATCCGGCACGTGAGATGACTTTGAGACAATTATATTATATATTTAATTACTTTTGTTAAAAAAAAAATTAATTCAATGTCTAACATTTTTTTTAGGTCAACAATTCGCTCTGTTTTACTTTAACCAAAACGTCTTTGTCAAAAAACAGAAAAGTGGATACAGAGAGTAGATCATTTTTTAAAAATGGTCCTTTTATTATTTATTCGTGGTGGTAAATGGTAATCCTGTGTGCTTGGTGTGTTCACAGCAGGTTTTAGTGCTCAACGAATATAAAAATCGGTGCCACTCATCATGCCGACATATACAATAACTTGCAAACATATAGGATATCAGATCTTTGTGCTTATTTAGACAGGCAATTGTAGCACATAGTCAAGTCATTTATTATATTTTCGGTTGCAATTGACGATAGCACGGACATTACAAATGTTGCGATACTGGTCATATTCATTCGTGGTGTAGACGAGTCCTTGACCGTCACTGGAGTTTCTGGAGTTGGTTCCTGTAATGGAAATCACAGCAGCAAATGACATTTTCATTTCTCTCATTGGAGCTCTGGACAGGGTCTGATGCACTGGTCCCTTGCTGTCAGCGTTGTTACAGATGGCGTTCCTTTAATGGTAGGCGTTCAGAGAAAGTACAAACTACAAATGGAGGACGCAATTTTTTTTATATTTCACTGGATTTTGCACCAGGAATCATTCTTTTACAAGTCGTTAAAATGGATCACGTCATGGAAGTGTTTGTCCGAACTGTTAATTTCATCTGAACTAGAAATCTGAATCACCGTCAGTTTGACAATATTCTCAGCGATACAGGTGTTACCTGTGCCTTGCCATATCACAACGAGATAAGGTGGTTAAACCGGGGTGCTCTGTTGAAGCGTTTATTTAATCTATGAGAAGAAACTGAACAGATAATGGAGAAAAAGAGCCAATAAGTGTTAGAATTTCAATCACCAGAATTTAAGATTTAAAGATTTAGCATTTATCGTGGATATTACAGAGCATTTGAATAATCTGAACAAAATGCTGCATGGCCGTAAAAAGTTGTCACAATTATTTTGAAAGCATACGCGCGTTAAAGTTGACGCTAACTTTGTGGGAGATACAACTGGTGACCATGCTCAATTTCCTTGTCTAAAAGATGTGGTTTTGACCGTAGATAACGTTTACATGAATCAACACAAAAACAATATCACGAGATTGCTGCTGAGTTTGAGCAATGGTTTCAGATTTTTGATGAACTTGAAATAAATTTAAGTTTTTCGCTCGCCATTTACAGTCAACGTCTCTGATCTGCCCGTCAACATCCAACTTGAAATGATTGACTTACAGTGTGAATCAGATTTTAAGAAGAAATTTACCTCATTTGGCTTTGACACATTTTATCAGTATCGCTTGTCAAAGTACGCCAAATTGACAGCCCTTGCTGCGAATGTTTTGCACCTATTCGGGACTACTTACTTTTATGAACATGTTTTCTCTGTAATTGAGCATCAATGAAACAAAGCTGCACTCAAAGCTCATACATAAACACCAAAATGATGTCCTGAAATTGGCTGCTACTCAAGATTTGATGCCTGATATTGATGCACTTGTAGAGGAAAAAAAGATGCCAAGTTTTAGGAACATATTGAAAATAAATGATAAAATATAATAGAAGTGTTTTAAATGTTTTTCTTTTTAATTTATAAATTGTATAAATTTACAATGCAGTGTGATAATTAAGTCTTCTTTAACAGTTCCCGCTTTCACATATTCATTATTTTGAGAAAAAAAATGTTTTTTTTTAAACCTGAACATTTTCAGAATACACTAAGACAAAAGGAAAATTTTGGAATTGCTATCTATAGGTTCTTATGTCATGATTTTACTGATCCGGTCCGCTTGAGATCAAATTGGGTTGATATGTGGTCTGTGAAATAAAATGATTTTGACACCTCTTATTTAATCTATCTTTTATTGTTGCCAGGATGTATGTCAATAAAAATTATTCCCATACCATTGGTCCAAGAAAAAGAGGTTTCATATTTTCATATTGTTTACCCTAAATTTTGTCCCTCCTATTCGAATGCCGCAGCAGAAATCGAGACTCATCAAACTAGGCAAACTTTTCCCACTCTCCTATTGCCTAATTTGTTGACCCTGAGTGAATTGTAGCATCAGTTTCTTGCTCTTATCCTCAGGATGTGGTAATCGGTGTGTACTTCTGTTGCTGTATCCCATTTACTTTAAGCTTCGGCTTTTATGTATTTAGCAATGCTCTTTTCTATGACTCCATTGTAAAGTTTTTGTTTCTTTTTTAAATCATTTCACCCCAAGCAAAACAATAAAATTTGTATAAAACTGGAACTGCTGCCCAAATACACAATTATATATATCATTTGTGGAACTCTCTTCTGGCTTCATGGTTTCTAATTAACTTTGATTTTCAAAAATTTAAATGCAATGTCAATCGTTATATTCTTACTTCTTGTTCTTTTGATGCTTGCTCTCCTTAATTATTTTCCTCATATTTTCTCACATTAACCCCCTTACGTCTTAGTTGCTTTATTCCCTTGTTTGGGGTGAAATATTTAATAAATGATAAATAAAGCTTACATGATCAATGATCAATGAATTTCGCAAGTTGGCCTAGTAAGCATACGAAAATACACATGACTGGACAAGAAAGGTTATCCATTGGGAGATGCATTTTGAATAAGCAAACTAATTTTATATGCATATGTTTTAAAGAATGAAATACATAAAAAGCTCTTATAAGTTCTAACACAGTGATTCTCAATAGCTGTGCCGCGGTACCCTAGTGTGCCGCGCAATCAATTTAAGTGTGCCGCGCAATCCATTTAAGTGTGCCGCGAAATATTGCCACAACATATCTGTGTGTGTATGTGTGTGTGTGTGTGCGTGGAAGTAATAATGGCACAGCGTTAGTATTTCAATAAATGAATAAGTATTAAACTTTTTATCCCACATAAGCTAAAAATCTTTATCAGTTTTATTGCAATTTTCTACTTCTTATTTGTTTAGGCTTCTCAACCCTAAATAACATCAAATGTAAGAAGCGAGAAAGTCTATGCTCAACTAAAGAAGAAATGGGTCTGCTTATTACACATTCGACCAAACATTGAAGTAATTGCTAAAAAACTCCAGGCACAGGTTTCACACTAAATAAGCTGCCGAAAAACTGATGCCCATATATAGTCTGGTGACCCCGCTGTTCATCTCGAGGTCCTCGACAAAATCCAAAGAAGGATATGCAATGTGATCGGTCCCGACATGGGGCCTCGATTCCAGTCACTTTGCTCACCGATGTAGTGGTTTCCTTCTGTCTTTTCTACGAATATTTCCATGGAAACTGCTCTGATGAGTTATTTTCACTGGTGCCCCGACTGCATGAATTTAAGCTTGCTACTAGGTTGGCATCTCGGACTCGATCTTTTACCGCATACTCTAACAGTTTCTCTCGCACTTCCCAACAGTGGAACTCCCTTCCTCTTACTTGCTTCCATGATAACTATAATCTTCAAAACTGTAAATGTAATGTCAGTCGACATCTTCTGATGCTTTGATCTTGATCTCCGCCTTTCTCTTTATCCTTTCCTCAATCCCCATTCTTTTCTCTTATTTTCACTCTCTGAAACCCTTTGCATGCTTTTGATACTTCCACCTTTCTTGGAGTGAAAAACTTTAAAAAAATAGTTGAATAGAAACATTGAAATAAAGTAATATGAACCATAGATTAAAAAAACAAACAAACAAAAAAACAATCAAATATCTATGGTTTTATTCCATAACATTTAAATGTATTCCCTTTAAAAAATTTGCTAAGTGTGCCGTGATATTTTCTTTTGCTACTAGGTGTGCCGTTGCTTTAAAAGTTTGAGAAACACTGTTTTAGCAGCTCACCTGATCATAATAAAACTGGGGGCCTGAATGTGCATTTCCCTATTTCGGGAGGCTACAGAGTAAATAGGAAAACAAGTTAAAATATAGAAAAATATTTTGACCTTGCCAGACAGCTTGCACTGCTGAAGAACATGATGATGACAACTGTGTCAGTCGTTATGGAAGTGCCAGGAAGGGTCCCAAATAATCTGAGAAATAGAGTAGAATAACCAAAACAAAAGAAGTAGCTGGAGCCATCTAAACGACAGCATTGCTGGAAACAAATGAAATATTAAGAAAGATCTAGGAGTAGTGATAAGACTTGTCATTTAATTTCACATCTAAGGTACCAGTTACGCGTGATGGAAACATTCAATGCGTTGAAGATAATCAGATGATGGTATTACTGAAAACAGCTAGAATATTTAGAAGAGTGTTGGAATATTAAGAAGACACATTGTCACTTAATTTCCAGTGTAAGCCTGCAGTTACTAACGACATAAATACTCTATGTGTGAAAAAAATAATAATGCTTGACACCCAGATTCAACACACCATCAAACGGGAAAACCAGATATGGTAGATGGAAATGAGGAAATGACGATCTGCAAGATCGTAAATAAAACTGTGCAATGGAACACACGTTAAAAAATATTAAAAATGTTAAAAAAAAAAAAATTGAAAAACTAGTGAAACAATAAGATCTTGCCTGAGAACTTAGAAATATATTGAACAATGTTAAAGTTGTGATTATAATCCTTAATGCACTTGAAGTTGTTCCCGAAAATACATGAGTTAGGATAAATGATAAGACTGTCCAGAAGACATAGCTCCGAAGATACCAAGAAAGATGTTAGAGATTGGGGTAGGCTTTATCTCACTCAAATTCCAGTTATATTCACCATCCTTAGTATAAATGAAGAACTGAAAATCAAAGGAATACCCGACTGTGTAGCGAAAAGAAACAG